TCCTCTTGAGGGACAAAGAATGGTTAATGCAGAATGGTATGCTAGCATTTGTTTGCCACAGATTTCTGAACTCCGTAAAGATAACTGCAACCGTCGCATCATCCTCCATCACGACAATGCGAGTTCTCACACCGCACACAGAACAAAAGTGTTTTTAGAGCAAGAAAACATAGAATTATTAGACCATCCGCCGTACAGCCCCGACCTAAACCATAATGATTTCTATACTTTCCCTAAAATAAAGAATAAATTGCGTGGACAGAGATTTTCATCACCTGAAGAAGCTGTGGACGCCTACAAAACGGCCATTTTGGAGACCCCAACTTCCGAATGAAATGGTTGCTTCAATGATTGGTTCAATCGTATGGAAAAATGTGTCAAATTTCGCGGAGAATACTTCGAAAAGCAATAAATACATTTTTAAATAGTAATGTTGTGTCACTTCTTTGATTCCCGAAATTTTCAGTGCCGCCCTCGTATAACATATTATTGATATTGGTGTCAATAAGTGGAGTTGGGAATATCATGTAGGTACTCTTATATATATAATATATAATATAAAATAATTGTCTCCAATAAATATTATACTTTTCTTGTTAAACTCGAAACAAAAAATAAATACGATTTTTTTTGACATTCCCATTTTTAAGCTTTATTTTCAAACTTTATTTTTAATTTGACCAATTTTCTTTAAAAAAAAACCGGCCAAGTGCGAGTCTCGGCACCGAGGCTTCCGAACAAATCCGTAGATATATAGGTTTAAAATTATTAAAAATATTTTTATTATAATATGATGTAACTAAAAATTTATGCTTTTCGCAATTTTTTCTTTATCTGTGCTATAATACGTTGCTTCGTATCAAATTTTAAGATTCTGAGTTCACGGGAAGTACCCTGTAGGTTTTGATTCCCTTGCGAACGTGGAAAATTTGCGGCATAAACGGCTGTATCTTTTGATTGTGTTGGCTTAGAAGTTTGATTTTTTCACAGCTCTAAGGGACAGTAGACTTGAGTATTTGATATAAATTTCAGCTTGATACTTCCACGCGTTTCTGAGAAAAAGGGTCTTGACAGACAGACAGATGGACAACAAAGTGATCCTATAAGGGTTCCGTTTTTTCCTTTTGAGGTATGGAACCCTAAAAATTTTTTTTTTATTGAATTCTTTAAGTCTTTTGAGAATATTTTTTATTTGAATGTAGCTATAGTAGTTTTTCAGTAGTAATCGTTTTTGTTGAGACAGTCTTGCACAGTCGTAAAAAAGTAGTGACATTTAATGCTCGGACAGGAGAGACGAGAATCACTCGTGCTGGGTGGACGTTTCAGTGGATAAGATACAATCAAATGAAACCAGCCAGGCGGAGGAATTAAGCCCAAAAGAGTTTGGGGTTTTCACAGACAATACACATTAAACCAGGAGTTATCCCAAAATTTTTAAAAGCGCGTCCTGTACCATTTGCTATAAAGCAAAGATTAGAGATGGAAATAGATCGTCTGGAAAAGGAAGGAGTTTTACGTCCAACGACTTTTTCGGAGTGGGCCACAACTGGGGTGTGCCAATAAAAAAAAAATCTGGTGAGATCCGTTTATGTGGAGATTACCGCAGTACATTTAATGAAGCAACAGAGTCGGATATTTATCCCATGCCCACGGCAAATGAAGTCTTCGCTACCATAGCTGGAGGAAGATTTTTCACAACTTTAGATCTAGATAGAGCTTACACACAAGTAGTTGTGGATGATAATACGTCAAGCTAACATTAAACACGTGCAAGGGTTTATATATAGTGCATAGGTTGGCCTTTGGAGTAAAAGCATGTCCAGGAATTTTCCAGCGCTTAATGACTTCTTTACTGGCTGGCATTCCAGGAGTGGCAGTTTTGATGACATAATCATATGTGGTTGTACTATGATAAAAATGCAAAAAAGATTAGATTTAGTACTAGATCGAATTGAACGGGCAGGATTACGCTTAAATAAAATGAAATGTCAATTTGCTAAAGAAAAAGTCGAATTTTTAGGCTATGTTATCGATTCTGAGGGAATACATCCTGCACCAAGTAAAGTCAAATCTATAGTTAATACTCCAGCGCCCAAAAATAAACGAGAACTGCAAGCATTTCTCGGGTTGTACAATTTTTATGAAAGGTTCATACCTCGACGTTATTCTCAGTTAGATAAAGAAGCCACATCAATTATGTTTGGCATTAAAAAATTTCATAATTACCTCATGGGTCGAAATTTTCGGATAATTACTGACCACAAACCAATATTTAACCCTAAAAAACCAATGTCAAATATGTTGTCTCCTCGATTAACGAGGATTGCGATTGCTTTAATGTCTCATGATTACGAGATTGTATATAAACCGGGATCACAAATAGCTAATGCAGACAGTCTAAGTCGATGGCCACATCCAGTCAACGAACAACCAGAACAACAGTTGTCTGAAGTTTTGTTGATGGCTGAGACTCTGGAGGATTTTCCATTTAATGCTAAAGACATAGAAACGAAACGTGATAAAACTTTATCTAAGTTATTTATTATGTTCAACGTGGTTGGCCTGCTAAAATAACAGACGCAGATTTACGCCCATTTTGGCTTCATCGTGCAGAGTTATCACTACAAGAGGACTGTATATTATTGGGCTGCCGTGTATTAGTACTAAAATTAATGCACCGTAAAACTAGAAATTTTGCAAAAACACACACAGGGATAGTGCAAACAAAAGCACTTGCAAGGAGCTACGTGTGGTGGCCAAATCTTAATGAGGATATAGAGACACTGGTAAGAGGCTGTCCGAAATGTTTAGAGAATCGCCATATGCCTCAAAAATCCAGTTATGAATGGATTACACCCACAAAACCATGGTCAAGGATTCATATTGATTTTGCTGGACCATTTATAATAAAAAATATTTTTTAATCATAGTGGATGCATACTCACGCTGGCCAGAATTATTTATGTTAAATAACACTAGCTCATCGACAGTTATAAGACTTTTAAGAACAACATTTGCAACACATGGCTTGTGTGAAGTGATGGTTTCTGATAATGGACCATCGTTTGTCTCTAAAGAAATGAATGGATTCCTAAAAGCTAATAACATACGTCATATAACTACAGCACCATACCACCCATCTACAAACGGGTTGGCAGAGAGAATGGTACAGACAATTAAGGACAAACTGTGCAAATTGGAGGATCTAGCATGGGACACTAAAATACCAAATTTGTTGCTTGGTCTTAGAGTTACACCATGCACCGCAACCAATAAGAGCCCATCTGAACTACTAATGAAGAGATGTTTACGTACACTTTTAGATACTATACATCCAGATTCAGCAAAAACTGAGAAAATTGAAAAACAAATTATCAATAATAGTCAAAGGAAAAACAGGGAAACTAATGTAGGTCAGGAGATTATGTACTACAATTATAGCAGTGCTGGCCCAAGATGGCTTCCAGGAAAAGTAATTAACAAAAAAGGGCCATCAAGTTATGAGATCAGAACCATTAATGGTATATAATCAATAGACATGTTGATCAGTTAATTAAAAAAGGGCCTATTATTAGTTGTGAGGATTCTGAAATGCAGGAGGGACAAAGAATGATTAGAACCGCTGAATCAGTAGAGGGTGTATGTCCTGAGAGTTCAGATAGTGTCAACAATGAAGAAAATCAAGAAAGTAGTCAAGACTCTGATATAATAATTGAGATTCCAGACTCTAATAAATGGGCAGAGATGTTAGGAATACCACCCACAGTAGAGACAACACTTTCAACAAGTAGAAAGATAAAACATAAGTCAAGTTTACATTCTAAAACACCATATGAAAGATCAAATGCTAATAGAGAAAAATCTTAAGCTTGTATATGTGTATTAATTAGTATCTTATATTAGACTGATTGATTTCAAGTGTTATGTATCTTGTTTAAATAATTATATTGTTTAGATTACTTACTAATGGGGAAGGTATGTCATATTCAAAGATTTATTGTTATTCTATTTGGGGGTACTTGTTTACTTTGTTCATTAATAAAGTAAATTGTATGTACACTTATGACACTTATCTTTTGTAATGCTACCAAGCTTAATAGATACATTATTCAACCAATGTGTTTTATTCTATATTCAGAACATATCACGTGTTGCTGACATGTCCAGAGGTTGCTGCATACAGAGCTAAACATCTCGGTACGCCTGGATCACTTCCCAAAGTTGCTTGCAACATCAAAGAACTGTTGAAATTCTTCAGGGGGAGATTTCATAGCTCGAATAATTACATTATTTCTGCCCACACACAAAAAATGCTCTAATACATAGAGTTGCTGATTTTTAATGCTTTTAGAATAAGGTTTGATAGAACTATCAAATGTGACACGGAATGCAACTGACGTGAAGCTTAGACAATTGTTGAACCCTACCAATTATTATAGCTTGACATTTATTGGGGTTCAATCTAATATCAAACAAACTAGACCAATTATAGAGATTTGTTAATTCAATATAGTGTCTGGCAATAGCATCACTATTACCCTTTAATAATTCTTAAAAATGATAGAATAAAATATTTTTTTTTTTATCTATATGGCCCTTGGTATTGTGGTTATGTCACAATAATTCTGCCAATGTCCGGTCTTTGGTCTGTCACACCTTTCTCGAGGCTTTTCGGTGGAAAAGGAGTTAGCGGTTATTAGGTGAAAATGTGGATAAAAACAAAGCAACTAAATACATGAATTGTGGACCACACAATATAGAGCAATATTTTAAAATTAAAATATAATTTATAAATTATTTGAAATTTCTTTTGACCTACATTTCAAAGATAATTCTATAAGATAATCTATAATAGATATTCATGATAAAAATTGCAATTTATTATTATTACTAGACGATATCACAGATTATTATCTAAATTACGGGTTGTTGTTGGAACTTATTAAAACGCATCATTTATTTAATTATAAATTATAAAAATATAATGGGCCAAAACATACCTTCATCAGGACCTTTTTTAATTTCACATGGTATGTAGACTCCATAATATATTGTATGTGGTTCGGAAGCAATAGGACTATCAGGTGCACTATGTTTTTTGCTCAAGGTATCCAGGCGCAAAAGTCGACTAAATAAGCCAATAGCCCCATCCTTTCTGTCAGGTGGTGATAGCGATATTTCTTCTTTCATGCCCCCGATGTCTTTGTTGCAACCCGGAATAATCACCGCTTTAGACATTTTAGTCTCACTGAAAATAGTAAACAAAATAGAACACCTTTTGTTTATGACGCAAATGAACACTCAAGTTTATTTTTATGTCGAACTTTATTGGATCTACCTTATTGTTATAGGGCGTCATAAAGGCATATTCGCAGCTTTATTGCTAACTAGTATTTCCTATTACCACATGTAATACATAAATAAACAAACGTTAATATCACTAGTAGGTTTGAAGATGATTACAAAAGCGAAAAGCGTTAAATCGAAATCGAACGATCGGTGACGTTGACGTTTTCACTCTCGTTTCTTTTACTATATAATCTATGGTTTTAATTAAGTGTACACTACACCCCCCCGCCCCCCACAGCATATGAATTTGGAGTATATATACAAAAACAAAATACTGGCAGAGGTATTTTAAATAGCACATCTCAAAAATATTAATTATTTAAACTGCACCCAAGTAGTTTAGAAATAAAAAATAGTTAAATTCGTTCACCTTATAACGTCGATATTACTCCAAATAATTAGAATTGGGTACTTTTTACGGTATAAAATAGTGCACCTTGTTTGAATATATATGCATCATCGTTAAAAATGCATTGATAAATGCAAAAAGTTGATAAAACAAATTTTTTGGAAAAAAAAAGTCACCCAATCGACATTTAACAAATTTTGTTTTAGTAAATTTTTGAGCTTATGCATGAGCAGTTTTTTTATACTGTAATAAGTACCCAATTCTAATTATTTGAAGTAATATCGACGTTATAAGGTGAACGAATTTAACTATTTTTTTTTATTTCTAAACTACATAGGTGCAGTTTAAATAATTAATATTTTTGAGATGTGCTATTTAAAATACGTCTGCCAGTATTTTTATATATATATATATATAGGAGGGTTTACACTACATAATGCTTTAAAACATTTTGGTTTTCTTTTTACTTGATGTTGCTGGTCATACATAATGTAATTTCATATGTCATAGACTTAATATAGATTAAATATTCAATGACGTCATCAGCGTGTGAAAAGAATGCACGTATCTATATAGTTAGAGATAAGAGTAACGGCCTGGCCACGGGAATCGGCGGCACGAACGGCGAAGCGGCAGGTGGGGCGACAATTCACGCGGCTTGGTTTGAGGGCCACGGTCAGTCACGTCCGCCGCCACGACCACATAGGCCGAGAGTGAAATGTCTTTATCAAAGTATCTCGATATTGCTTAGAAAGTAATCGTTTTTTGGTTCAAGACATAATATTTGGAGATATTGTGGAGTACGTGATTAGAATAGGATTCGGGTGATAGATGGAGTATTCCACAAGAAGTGCGAGAAGTACAGAATGTATCCAGAAAAAAATTTCGAGTATACCAGAATGAGTGTCGAAGCTTTCGATTATATTCTTGTTAATACTAACTACTAATTCCAAAGCTGCTAGCAGGCCTACCAAGTATCTCGGCAATAAAAGTTTCAGTATTCATTTTTTCGTGGCGAAAACAACTAATTTATTTTGTATCCTATACTATTCGCCGCGTCTACCGCTCGACTCCGTGGCTTGCGTCGGTACTGATTCATGCCTTTATTTCAGTCGCCCGCCGCGCCGCCAGTCGCCCGCGCGGTTCGCTTGATAAATTTCGCCGGTCGCTTCGCCACTCGCCGCTGCGCGTCTTAATCCGTACATTTCTATACTTTTATTTTAGTCTCTAGACGCCTCGTCGTTCGCACCGCGCGAATATTCGCTATGGCGAATGTCCCGTGGCCAGGCTGTAAGGGAGAAGCAAATCTATAATTCTTGTCTTTTTCTAGGTATGCGTTTTGATGGTTTTCCATCAGTTAATTGACATAATTGATGTCAAGCTTTTGTAAATTCATTGTGACACATAATTATGATTTCGGTTTATATGAAAGTACTCTGTATTGTTACTAGTGAACTAGTTATTTGCATTAAGTCCGCCTTTGTATATTATACACAAGCACTTTGTGTTTGTAATTTGTAATCTTATTGCCTTCCCTATTTGTAAGGAACAAATAAGGAAAGCAATAAGATTAAAAATAAAATAAATAAGTAAGTCCATTACTATTTTTACAATCCTCTTTGTATCGTATCCGTGAATTCCTAGTAGATAAGGCCAAAAGTTTAATAATCAACTTCAATGTCCATTTCTTAGTTTTCATACAAATCCTGTAAGTCTCTATCATTTGGTCGAATGTGTCCCCTCTCATGTGAGAGGACCTGCCTGTAGTTTTTACAACAGCAAGACAGGTTCAGAGCCGAAAGCTGTATGTTATGACGGTCATGCCTTATTATCCTTCCTATATATTATGCAGATATTATCGTCATCGCTTGCTATCTCTTCATATTCGCCCCGTCACAGAATAAATAATAGTTTTTTTGCTCCCAGAAGCGATGAAAAGGGCTACCCTCCGGGAAGCGGGGAAGGAGGTGGTGAATGCTCTAAGCATACAACGCAGCCGGCTACGTGGTTATGTGAGAGTGGGACTCACTATGAAGTCTAAGTGCCTACCCACTAAACACCACCTGGGACTGGTTTTGGCCTCTGTGGCCTTTCAGCCGAATCGGAAGCGACCCCCTTTAGGGAAAGGGGGAGGGAAATAATAGTACTACATAACCCCGTTTTATAGCCGCCCGCCGGGCTGAAGTGGGCTTTCCGAGACATTCGCGAATGTAGACGTTAGTTGATAGAGATGTGCCACTTCATATTCGCTCCTAAGATTGCTTCGAGAAACGGATAATTTTGTCTCTATCGATTATAGAATAAATTGAAAGTTATTCTTATAATGAAAATATATAAAGCAATATTATCTACTAAAGGATTACGATAATCAGTTGAAAATATACTACATGCACCATATTAGCGGGGACAGTAACTTAAAATTTTTAATAACATCTTTAATGCGCATCAACATAATCATTGTATTTGAAATGATATTTTGCATTTATATACCAATGAACCATAAAAAATATAAAATAAAATCGAATCATAATCGATAAAAATGATAATCGATTATTTACGTATTTGTAACCGCGCATTATGAGTATCTCATCTCTAGTTTTAGTTACCACCCAGGGGCGTAGCTACCGCCGTATCAGCCGTATCAATGATACGGGGCCCCCGGGCCACGGGGGCCCCGAACGTGAGTAAGTAAAAATTCCAAGGACTTCTATGGGACATGAAAGGCTATCACTATTGTCTATAAAAGCAAAGAATTTAGTAAAACTGAAATCGTCTTCAGCTATGAATGCCGCCGAATAGTCTTCAGCTATGTTCGCCGAACAAAAGGCAAGAAAAGTTTATATTTGATTTGAATTGTTTGGCTAGCTTAGTTCCTAGGAGCATTATTTTTTTATAGGAGAGGGGGCAAACGAGCATGCGGCTCACCTGATGGTAAGTGACTACCGCCGCTCATGAACAACCGCAACACCAGGGGAATTGCAGATGCGTTGCCGGCCTTTTAAAAAGGAGTAGGCTATTTTCTTGAAGGTCAGGGACGTATGGGTCCGGAAAAATCGCTGGTGGTAAAAGATTCCACAAGTTGTGCGAGGAAGAAAACATCTTCTAAATCGCACAGTGGTGGACCGCCAATCATCTAGGTGGTATGGATGGTATCGTGAGTTTTGCCGCGATGTGCGATAGTGAAATTGAGCGGCTGGAATTAGTCCGAACAATTACTTGGAGCACTCCCCGTGGTAAATGCGATAAAATACGCAAAGAGATGCAACATATCAACGCACTGCCAGTGTATCGAGTTGATCAGAAATAACTCGGTCGGCGACGATTCGAACCGCTCTGCGTTGGATGCGGTCAAGTGGAAGGAGCTGGCACTGGAGTGCTCCGGCCCAGAGATGAGAACAGTATTCCATATGATGTACCGGCATGAAATACTGTCTCGCTCTGCTGAGCACGCCAAGCTTTTAAGAGGCCAATTTGGTCTTCCCTTCCAAGTGACCACGAAACTGCACACTATTCGATATGTCGACGCCGAGGATTCCGATGCTAGCTGAGGCAGCAAGAGGAGTGCCTTGAAACTGAGGAGATACGACAAAGGGATTCTTTTTAGCAGTAAACGCGCAAACTTGTGTCTTCTGGGGATTGAACTGGACTAGATTTAGTCGCCCCCAATCCGAGACTTTGTTCAGCAAAGACTCGACTTCAGACACAAGTTTGTCCCGGTAGTCGGCGACGTTTTCCCGAGAAATATTGGCACGGCCGGTATATAAGGCATCACCAGTGCTGTGCTGTCTGCATAGCAATGAATGTTACTAGTTTGCAATATATCATTGATATGCAGAAGAAACAGCGTTGGTGATAGCACGCAGCCTTATGGAACACCAGCGTTGATAGGCTTGAAATCAGAGCATGCACCGTTTACTACGGCATTGATTCTCCGATCAGCAAGGAAACTGGTGATCCATTTGCACAATTTCTCGGTAAGCCCACAGGAAGGAAGCTTCGAAAGAAGCGCTTTGTGCCAGACCCGATCGAAGGCCTTCGCTATGTCCAAAACAATGGCCAATGCCTCCCCCTTGGACTCTACTGCCTCCGCCTTTCTATGAGTTAGGTAGACCAGAAGATCACCAGCTGATCGACCCTGACGAAAACCGTACTGGCGGTCACTAATCAGCTGGTGATCCTCAAGGTACCTCATGAGCTGGCAGTTATAATGGATTCCATTATTTTGGAGAACAAGGAGGTATTGGCGATAGGCCTGTAGTTGGACGGGTCTGAGCGGTCGCCTTTTTTAGGGATCGGGTGGACCAAAACTGTCTTCCATGAATTCGGGACTATGCTTTGGGAGTAAGCGTACCGGAAAAGACTCTTTAAAACCGGTGCCAACTCCGGAGCACACGTCTTTAGCACAATGGGGGGACTCCATCAGGCCCACTCGACTTGCTGACGTCCAGGCATAAGAGTGCTTTAGGAACCAAGCGCTGTGTAAATCGCACATCCGGCATGGAGCACTCTCACGGCGAGATGGTCAGCAGTGTGTTCTCCCCGTCATCTATAGTCAAGTTGGACGCAAAGAGAGAGCTTAAAAGATCGGCTTTCTCCTTTGCGGCATGGGCCAGTGAGTCGTCCTCTCTGTGCAGAGATGGAAGAGATGGCTGACAGAAGTTCCCTTGGACAGCCTTGGCGAGAGACGAGAATGCACGGGTTCCCGAAGGAAGGCGAACTAGCTTCTCGCCAATTCTGCCGATGTGCTCAGACCTTGCCTTGGCAATAAAGCTTTTGAAAGACCTGGAGGCGGAATTATACTTCTTTTTAAGTGCGCT